CTAAAAGAGGTGACACGGAGAACCAGGTGTCGTAGCCTTAAGCCTAGCGGAGGCGTGTTGTGTCTTCTAACTGGGCAAAACGTCAAAGCACATTTTCTTACAATTTGTGTGTGGCCAAGCCGAAGAGCGACAGAGATTCCGAAGCAGTAGGGCATGCGGGTGAAAGTATAAGATGTGTACAAGGCTACAAGCCAGAGGGAGGGCACTTCTGTCGGAGAGAGGGTGGGTTCTATAAGTGTCTGGTAAGAGTCGACAGTAAACCGGAGTTTATTTTTCTACGTTATGGAGTGAAAGCATACAAAAACAAGCTTTCCAGCTTCAGAAATGCCTTTGCATCAGCAGGCAGTCGCACACACCGCTCGTTCGTTTCACTAGGCTCTCTTCGCACACAAGACTCGTAAGACGTGAGCGACTGCAAGGCTCTAATCCGGCGGCGCATCGCTCGCGGCGTACGAAGCATTGTTTTCGGTAGCAGGAATGACTGCCGGCGCCCACCACGGCAGTGTTGTCAGATGGCCGAACCGGAAAGTCCCCACATCTGCGCCAAAAAGTCCCTGTTTAACCATACCCGGGTGTGCAAATGTCCCTACGGTTGTCCCCACAGGAGAACAATAGTTGTAATTTATTTATTTTGCTTATTTGAGTGAGCCTGCCTTCTGTACCTCTCCATGAGCGCGTTACAACTCATTGATTAGCTATTTCTTGTTTTATAAACACGAGATTGAACATGTAAAAGGAAAAATACAAGTTAATCCAAGTATTTAGTGTAACAGATGAAGAACTTTTGTGTTTACTGCATAACATACAACAGTCACTGAAACTTGAACAGCATTTTTAAGAACACCCTGGCTATTAGGACCTTGCGTTAACAAACATTTGCAACAATCGCCTGCGCGCTGTCATCTTTGTCTGCTGTGCCTTAGAGCGCTTTCTGAGCATGCGCTTTTGCTTGGCTGTGCGGTATATAAGGCGATCCGCACGCGTCCAGAGCTCAATGACCGCATTTTTCATCCTGGCGATAAGCGACGGAAAGGTCTATAGACCGACATTTTTCAGGGACTGTCCGCTCCACAATTAGTAGGTTGGGGCATTCTGACAGCACAGGTATTCCCCAAGCCGAGCTCAATAGCACATCACACGAGGCAGATACTATCAAGACGATAGGCTCGAACGAAGACGATAATCAAGACGATAGGTGACCTTGCGAGCCGAGCGCCGCGCCTCCAATGAACGCTTCCGCTGAGGCAAACATTTGGATTACCGTAGCTCGAGGGAGCGTAGCAAGCGCAACTCGATGCTCCGGTGCCAGGGCCCCCGTTCGGGCTCAAGTGCACCTGCACTCAGCACCCCCCCCCCCCCCCCCCCCCGCTCAAAAAAAAACAAAAAAAAAACAGCATTGAGCCACGTTGTTAGAGCGAATGTTGCGAGCGTAGCAGCCTTTCGAATTTTCCATTCTGACTTTGGTTGTGCTTGGCAATGAATTGCAGAGAAAATTGTAACTTGAAAGTATCTTGGAGTAGTTACTTTTCTGGAGTATTTTGTACTTTACTCAATTACTTTACAATTTTCAGTATTTAGTACCCTGCTCCAGGCACGTAGCCAGGATTTTGTTTCGGGGGGGGGGGGGCCGGGCGGCCATGAGAAAATGCTGTATGAGGGGGAGGGGGGAAAGAAGGTCCCAGCAAAATAGAAGATTTCAGGGGGGGGGGGGGCATGGCCCCCCCCCCCCCCCCCTTCCTGGCTACGTGCCTGCCCTACTCAGTTACTATTTTTGGTAGTAATCAGTATTTAACTTAAATACTTTTAGTGAGTGCCTTGTACAAGCCTGCAGTCCAGCCTCACGCCCAACACGACGTAGCGCAAAGCAGCCCAGCGCACGTTGGCGTTGCTGGCGTAGCTCACGACGGAAAAGCAAACCGTTCACCCCGCACCACCTGCCGCACACTGACGACGGTCGCTTTCCCAAAATCTCTTGTGCGAGCTCCTCATATTCGGGACTGGGGATGTTGGGGTCAGTTGGAGCAGTCGGAGTGTGTGAGACGCTCTTTTCTGCGGTATGAACCCAACGTTCTTGCCATCTGTCGTGCGCTGTTATCGTGTACCTGTGTTGGTGTGCATGTTTAACGTTCGTGCGATCGACTGAACGAGTGTGTGCGTAGACGCGGACTTTCCAGGATGCGCTACTCCGGAGACGCTTCGTAGGTTTTTGCCTTCTACCCTCGTGACGTCAGACGTGACGTCACGCGTGACATCAAGAGGGTAAAACGTTTCCCGCTAAATTGGTAGGGAACTTTTTCCGCTAAATTTAGCGGGAAATTTTTCTTGCTGAGTTAAGCGGAAAAAAATTTGCGGAAAACTTTTACCTTTGTGACGTCCCACGTTACGTCACGTCTGATGTCACACATGACCCTCGCCTCCGTGCCCTCCGGTCCTCCTCCTCTAGAGCTGTGCTCTCATTCGGCATTACAAAGAATTGTAAAGGTCTTTCTTCCTTTTTTTTTAGCAGTGTAATAGGCCACGCACGACTGTAATTTTTAGATTAATGGGGTGCTTCCAGCGAGTAAATCGCATTACCGCCATAAAATGACGATCTCAGTAACCCCTTCAGCGCACCTATAAGGCACGTTTACGCGTTCGCGTGACGCTTAAAATCTCTGCTTGGTATTCTTTTTTCTTTTTTTTGTTCTTTCTGAAGTAGTGTGTCTAAAGGCTCGTTCATGCACATTTGTGTTTTCTTGGGTCCGAATTCTTGCAATCTCAAAAAAGGGAAGAGTACGTGCACTGGCACGGTGGTGCAATCTATGAGGTGACGTTTGAAATTTATTTCAACAGAGTAAAGGTTTTTACGGTGTTTGCAATATCAAATGTATAAGAAATGGTCATTTGTAATATTCTGAAACGTTTTCCAAGCCTATAAGGAATGATGCACAAAAGAATAGGCGATATGTACAAACTGCAAGTGTTTCACGGTTACCCAATAGATGCGCTAGTGTGCTCACTTATAATTATATATGTAGACAATCAGTATGAAGATATGTAACTCTACGTTGAGTAAATGTTAAGAAAAAAAAACAAAGAAACACTCGCAAGGTGGCGCAAGTCACCGCCCGACTCAAAGAGCTCAACCCTATCCATTTATCCATCCATCCATCCATCCACCCATCGTAAGAAGTTTAAGTGCTTTAAAGGCACTCGGTTGTAAGCAGTCGTGATTCTGTGAACCAGCCTTAAATATTCAATGTCTGTTGGTATCACGGTTGCTTAATCGGTTTACAAAACCGACAGGTGGTCATAATTACTTCATGGAAACAAAATGCACCATGATTATGACAAATAAAGAACACCCCAAAAGCACAATAATAAAACAGAATTAAAATAAAGATCACTGGGGCTTACAAACGCGAAACCCATATGGCGCAGTAAAATGCCGATCGACTGAGCACGGGAACGATACATGCTGCGAGGTCTTCATGGAGGCCAATCGTAATTCCCCCCTTTTTAAAAGTGCGAGTAATCTACGACCTGCTGAACCAAGTAGCCGTGGCCGCCATTTTGTTTGGGAACGAACTCTGAACATGCATTAAACACGAGTGTTTTTTTTTTTTTTGTTTTGTTTTTTGCGTCTGCGTTCGGCGCGGACCTATAAATGGCGACCACCAATGTTGCCTGGGGTTCTGAAATGGGGCTACCGAAGAGACCTCGAAGGAAGTCCTTATCCCTAACGTGTGCTTATTCGACAGACAGGGAATGATGATTTGCTTCAGCTGTTGCTGAACGCCGAAGAACAAACCGCCGCAGAGACGAAGCTTAATCGCACCAATCATTCGAATGGTGCTGATCTCTCGGCAAATTGTAAGTATACATTTTGAGGTGCATTATGCCGGGTAGCCAGAGTGAGGAAGTGGGCCGGGTTAATTTATATAGGCCAAGGAATTCTTCGCCATCTATAGTCACTGCACCGCTTAAGAAACGCAGAGTGCGACCAATGACGAACATCTTATTCTGGCTCCGCAGCCAATGAGATTGTAGAATTTGCCGACAAGAACGCCGAAGAACCAATCACGAAGCTTTGAGCTTTCTGTGAACATGTCAACTGCGTTGCTTTATTGTGACTGTTCTCAATACCCAGGACGACACACACCAATAAGGCAGTGACCGAAACAATAAAATAGTAGGCTCTAAAGGGAGCATGAAGCACTTAAAAAAAAATTAGTTGTAAACGGCTTTGTTTATATTTTTGTCACCTATATTCGAATATCAGACTGAAAATAAGCAAAACTGCTTGAAATCGTAGCTTTCAGCGCACCAGGCACGTAGCCAGGATATTGTTTCGGGGGGAGGGGGGGGGGAGGGGGGGGGGGGCGGGGGCGACGGGTAGCACGACAGGCGTCTGCCACATCTACCATCACTGCTGTGACGCCGCCAGGATCGCGGCCGGCGACAGCGTGATAATTTAATGACGTCATCAGGCAGAAATCGAGGGACCATCTTCTTTGATGCGAAACTTGGAGGCGCAGACACCATATTTTCGCTGATTATAATCTGTTTACAGGGCAAGGCTTGTAAGAATAAATACATATACAGTCAATAAAATGCGTGGAACACTGAGAAACTAGTCATTTCTGTTTGTGACACCTTCTTTTGCTCATGCTCGCCAAAGCAAGACAACATAGTTTAAGATTGATTTTTTTTTCTAAACTCGTGAGATAAAAATAATTAGAACAACACTGCGAAATAAAACCTAAATCAAATATTTTATTTCCAATTACTTTGCTCCAGGTCTTATCATTATATTTAACAATAAAATGATAAAAAAGAAAAAAAAATATCGGTCCTGGCGAATTTGCATTGCTAAAATACCGCAAGACCGAGATTGCAGGTCGTTTTGTCGACCAATTTATTAAGTACTTAATCGTGCGGTAACTCGTTGAGTATTACAACCTACATCTCAGGGTAGTATCACACAGATATACTAATTCAGTTTGCTTTTTGTTGCAGCTCACACGCCACATAGGGTGCCGAGGATGACACCGTTTGCAACAGTCGCCAATGCCGAACTTTTTATGATTTCAGGGTGAGGTCTAGCGTAAAATATTATTCAGAACACGCCAATAAGTGACAGGGTACCAAGGTACACCCGTGAGCAATATGAAGGTGAACAGCCCTCTTCTTATTTTTGACGCTCCTGCAAGTTTTGGAACAAGCTTTGTTCCAGAAGAAGGTTAGAAGGCAAAGTTTAGACCCTAAGCCGCGTACCATTTGAGACGTTGAGAGTTAATATATAGATTCAGGGAGCCGTAAAACAGGCAAGAAACCAGGTAAGGTGTTCACCTTCATATTACCGGCGGGTGTGCGCCCCGTAAAGGTCGTTTAACGTAACAGTATGTTTTTTTAGCTTGAGTTACAGCTTAAGGAACGCATGATGTGGCCAATTAAGACCGTCTTATTATCGTCCCGCAAACAATCAAATTGTAGCATTATCCGATAACAACACAAATGACCGAATCGCGAAGCAAGGACCACTAACACAATAGAGAGTTTTAGTAGATCGTTCCGATACCTCCGATAGCCCCGATAACGATACTATGCATGCGCAAGGGAGGCGGTGGCGGAGTATCGGGATATCGTTATCGGAGTCATGGGAACGATCTACTAAAACTCTCCAAAAAGCCAGACCTTTCGCTTCTTTAGCTGTAAGCAAAAACAATTTATCGTTGCCTTTTTTCTTGTATTTTTATTTTGTTTGCTGCGATAATTATTATGTTCTTTTTCCTTCCACTCGAAATGATGCTGTATACACTCTCATTAAAGCCGGTGCGTCTTCGATGGTCATAGATGAACCCTCTCTTCAGTCTAGGCTCTTCAATCTGGGCTCTTTAATCTAGGCTTCAGCCTGATCGTAATATATCACAAGAGCTCGGTTCTAGACAAAGGCAAGCGCGTGAACGGGCCCTTAAACTCGGTTTCTGTTCCAGGCTTGAGACGGTCAGTTCTGCACTGTCTTTCACCGCCCACCTTTTGGCCAAGCATCAAGACGTCCAAGACATACTGAGGGCGGAAGTGAAATCGCTCCTCGAGAAAGACGTAAGGCCCTGGAATAGCTTTGTAGATACCACCAAGCTCTCTACGTTCTAAACAACAGCCTTAAGTAATAAGAAAAAAAAAGTTTTTAATTTTGTTCCAGAACGAGCAACTGTGCACGCAGATCTGCATGCATATAGTTAAGTTGTATACGTGTCGTCGTCGTATATCGTCAACGCCTTTTATATAGCAAGGCCGTAGGACTGAATTTTCTCAGTACGGATAAGATATAAGCCCTGCAGTTCGCATGATGTTCGTGTCATCGCTGATTGGACAAGATTCCCACTCGATCACTGACGCAGCAGTCGTGTATTGTCAACGCCTTTTATATAGCAAGGCCGTAGGACTGAATTTTCTCAGTACGGATAAGATATAAGGCCTGCATTTCGCATGAGATTCGTGTCATCGCTGATTGGACAAGATTCCCACTCTATCACTGACGCAGCAGTCGTGAGCAAACGCATGATTGGACACGAATGCCGCTTCCAAAAACTTCGACAAAAATGTATTTAATTATATTATTACAATTACACTTTTTAGATAACTATTTAGATAAGAGACTTAAATACAACAAGTGCGTTTTATCAACTGAAACACGTTTAGAAATACATTTTTCATTCCATTTTCAACATCTGAAACTTAAATAAAACCTGGAGTAAAATTTGAAAAAAAGACCGTGCTAAAAATACACAGTGCCTTAGAAACAAGTGCCTAAATAAACTTGCGCATCAAAAAAAAAAAAAAAAATATATATATATATATGTGTTTTTTTTATGAGATATGCGGATATATCGGGGAAAATACACTGTATTTAGTGCTCGCTTAATTTCAAAGTCTTATAGTGTGTGAAACCAATACATATCGCGAACGCCTAAAAAAATTAAAAAAAAACACACGAACACTCAACCAAAAATCAGCAATTATATCCATTCCGCTTATTCATTGCACTACTCTTTATCTTTACTATTCAGAGTTTATTATGTTCAAAGAGCATGCATCTCGTGCTCTGTGCATGTCTCGCTTAGAGAAGAGCACCTAAAATCGTATTTGGCAGTACTTCAAATCACGGATTTCAAATACTGAATGTTCAGTGCTTAAGTACGAGTGACAAATACATTTTCCAATAAATATATATATATATATAGGCAAAAGTAACTTGCGTAGACAGAGCAGCCGTCGGATGATAAAAATACAATTCTAATTTAATGTAGAAAAAAGTCACGCAATAAAAAAGGGCGAAGTGCCGAAAACAAGTTGTATTAGTTTACGGGAATAATAAAGGCTGGGCACAAGAACGCAAGTTATCTGGGAAGCAAACTTGAAAAAAGGACGGAATAAAAGTCAGAGTTAAAACACAAGAACTTACAAAAATAAATTGTTGAATGAAAAATAGAATAAATAATAAAGAATAAAAAATAAGAAATATAAACAAGAAAGGAGGCTGACGTCCGTCGACATTTCTACTCCCCAGTGACAGTCCCTTCCTCATTTTTTTCTGAAGAAGGCAGTTCCACTGCCGAAACGTCGACGGACGTCAGGCCCCTTTCTTATTTTTATGCATTTTTTTTATTTTTAATTCTTTATCTTGACCCGATTAAATTAATATTATGACCCGATTAGCACACTGGCACACCGGCTCTATCTATCCGCTAGCTCTGGAGCACTTTCAAACTATATTATCATGAATTTGTTTACGCATCCTTCTTCCATCGTAGGCATGAAATAAATATCACGAGGTTATAGGCGACCACTTGTCATATACAGCATGTAAACTCACGCTTTTAACACGCTTTAGAGTCCAGCCAACTTACAGAAATCGGTTTCTCAACGTATGGCGCCGCAAGCTACTACAGAGGTGCAAGCAGGTGGTAAAAGTTTACAGTAAAAACACACACACACACAAAAAAAAAAAACTTGTCCCATTCAAAAAAAAATAAAAAAATCCTGTTCTGGGCAGTTTACGCCGCCACTTGTACTACCTGCTCTGGCCAATTGATGTACGCGTAGTTAGAAATGCTTCCCTCACATGGCGTACGCTTGGTAGAGGGAGCGCCGGCCGATTGCGGCTATTTTGCGGGATCGTCTGCTATCATAACCTGAATCGCCGGCGCTCTTCCGACGCGGCGTACGCCATCTTTCGGCAGTTCTGCTCACTGCAGGTGCATCGTCTGCGAGGGGGCGGCGTAGATTGTCCAGAACAGGATTCTCTGTTTTGTTTTTCTTTCTTTTGAACGACGTAAGTTCATTTCTTCATTTTTTCACGGTAGACTTCCACCACCTGCGTGCATCTCTGTACTAAATCGCAGGGCGATACGTGGAGAACCCATTTTTGCGGGTCGTCTACAGTGCCTTCTAAGCGTTAGTTTACATGCTGTATATGTACATTCGACCTTTCAAACAATGCAAAACCTTCAGTTTAGTTATACATAAGTCTGGAATTTTCCAGGGCTTCCCGATAGGTGGTGCCAGCGTGTTAAGCGGATAAAAAAAACGCAGTCCACTCAACTCAATAAAACACAAATGTTTGAATAAACCGTTAATTAAATTTTGGTGGGGATGTGTAGCTTCAGGCGTTCACAAGTCATGATTCGATATTTTGGGTATCCTTGTAAGTATCTTTGAGTGTGCTCCTAAATCCTAAAAATAATTTGTTTCTTCGTTAATCTTTCTTTCAGGGAAATCTCAACTACGACAACCTCTTCAGCCTGCAGTACTTGAAACAAGTCATTGCAGAATCCTCAAGATTCTATCCCGCACAGCCAGGGTACTGTGACCCAATTGAATTACAGCTCTTTATTAACCAGCGTCCGAAATTATACAGTTTAAAAATATTTCGGTAGCAAAATCAAAATTAGAATTAATAAAAAAACGTTGCTCAAATAAAACATAGCCCAAATGAGCAAATGCTGCGGACATTTAAAAAAATAACAATATTAATAAAGATTTTAAACGGGATGTTGGTACTTAGAACCAACTTTTAGTTTTGGAATACAATGAAGTCCTTTCGAAGTATTTTATAGTTCTTTTTGAGTGATATATCCGCAACTGACTGTGAGTTTTCTTGTTAGTAAACGTGTTTCATACTTCGTTTCACCCTATGTCTGAACGCTGCCGAGGTTTCGAAATAATAGGACCAATCAAACAGTATCAAAAGCGCAAGTCACTGGGCCTTTCGTGTACATCATTAGTTCAGCGATGGCATAACTCTTACAGAATCTGAACGAACACTTTCACTAACGAACATTTTTTTTTGTGGTTAAAGACGGGATTGATTTATTTGTGCCGCAGCGCATTGAAAAGCCTTCAATATATCCTGAGCGTTTTTTTAACTCTTTCGTTACCGCGGAAAAATGACTGATTTTCAGTGCTTCTAGAAAATATTTTTTTTCTCTGCGACTACTAGCCGCATTAAGCTTTGCTATTTATCAAACTGTAGGTTATTAGCTGGGCATCATAGTTAAATAAACTGTAGTGTTATGAGTGCAAACAGTGAAGAGAATTTATTTGTCAAATGAACAAAAAGTTGACAAAAAAAGTACAAACAAAACAAAAATCAGTGGCTGTACTGAGCCAGAAAATTATTTTCGAAATTCTGAAATATACAAAATGTTGCAAGTGGCCCTAGCCATCATTTCAATATCTTCCAGTTCTGTGCGCCGTGTTCTGTATTTTTCGTGGCCAGCAAAGTTAGCGGTTCTGAAGGCTGTGCCACTCAGAAAAGCAGTCACGTGAAGGTAGGAAGCAAAGATAAATTTCGCATGTGGCGCAGAAGACGTTTGTTCTGGATTGGGATTTTGTCTTTCGATAGCAGAGCTTGCAGTTTCTTCTCCTCTCCATTCTTTTTGGTTGGTGGCAAGCAGGGACATGAGGTGAGAAGGGGGTACCACTTTGCGCTGCTCCATCGTACTCAAAGATCTGCTGAATTAGCTCTTCTCTAAATGCCAGCTGGTCAAAGTAGGCACTTCTGGAAAGTTCTGGGACGTCTGGGTTCTCTTTGCGGTGTTCTTGGAAGAGTATAAAACTATTTACGCATGCAATGTCCACACAATGGAAAAATAGCGTCTTCCACCAACGCACACATTTCCTCAGGACGTTGTATGTTCCAATAATTTGGTCCGACTTGTCGACTCCCAACATTCCAGCGTTGTATTCGTGGACTAGAAGCGGCTTTTTGATGGTCCTCAAAGTCCACTTGTCCCCTCTTTTTTCTCTTCGTTGGGCCGAAACATGCTCGTTTGCTGTATGCATCGTGCTCATCAGGTTTACCGCACGCCTGTCTTTCCACTGCATGTAGAGGATGTTCCCTTCACGAATCCATCTAACATCTCCCCGCTGAGCTCTTCTTTCCCATTTAGCATCTTTCAATTCAGCTGGAAAACATCGGCGATCTTTGCGAGATGTGCCGCATGCAAACGTCTTGCGCGCAAGGAGGTGGTCGAAAAGTTTCGTTGATGTATAGAAGTTGTCCATGTAAATCTTGTACCCTTGATCAAGGTACTCTGTGCAGAGCTTGGTGACTACGTCAAAAGCTAGACCGTGAGGTGTTGGTGTCTCACGCTTGCCAGTGTACACAACAAATTGAAGGGTGTAGCCTGTTCTTGAGTCTGCCACCACCCAGAGTTTGTATCCCCACTTCGTCACTTTGTCTCGAATGTATTGCCTTATTCCTGATCGGGCTTTAGATTTTACCATGCGTTCATCGACTGAGAGATCACGCCGTGGTTGGAAAAAACTTGCTGATTTTTCATTGATGTGCTTCAACAGCCAGTATACCTTCCAGGTTTTGCCGACAGAAGCTGCAGCTCCACAGTCCTCCGGGTCCGATACGTGTAAGAACGCCAGCAGCGCAGAAAAGCGCTTTCTTGGCATAATATTTGGTGGTAGAAGGCCTCTGAATATTCCTGTTGTTTTCCAGTATAAGTGCAGTCGCGGAACTTCAACCATTCCCATGTAGATGAGAATCCCAATAAATTGCAGCATCTCGAGCGGTGTGACCTTCTCCCAGGAGCCGTCACGCCGAGCGTATGTCTGCCGGTCCAAAATGTGCATCCAAGCATATTTGTTTGTGTTCTCACACAAAGTCCTTACCACCTCGGAAGTGAAAAACAAAAGAAAAAAATCTAGTGCTCTTGAGAAGCGCCGTGAGTCGCTCCGCAGTGCTGCGCCAACATGGACACCGGGCTGTCTCTTGGGCGAAAACTGGATACGGCGCGACGCATTCGGAAAAGTATCCTTGCCGTACGTTGTTGAGACTCTAAACATGCAAGAAAAAACGCTGTCGTCAAATACAAAGCGCGCGTTTGTATAAATACAGTGTGCAAGCTAAAACGAAACACACCTGCGAGCTCCTGTTGACGTTCCCGGACCTTGAGCTGGAGTGTCGCTGTCAGAACTAAAATCTGACGACCCTGCATTGTTACTGGAGTCATCACTGCTGCTTGAGTCACAAAAATCGGCAGAAAAAGCGGCCGAAGTGCTTGCAACAGCCTTCCGCTTTTGAGGTGCGCGCGGCAAACTTGACGCCATGGCTCCCGACTACGCGGTAACTTTTGGTTTAAGTTTCGTTTTTAACAGCGCCGTCTCACGTCAGAAGATGAAAACCAAAACCGAAACTGAAAAAGTAGATGTCTACGAGCAAACTAGGTGGCGCTGTCTGTCTTGACGCGCCAATTTTGATTTTTTCAGACGCTTTGAAAGTCATCGTAACTCCGTGTCCGATTTTCTATGGCGCGGAGTTGCAAACGTACATGCGGAAGAAAGACTACTTTCATCGGCTTTTCAATCAAACGGGCTCTTCCTTATGTTACACTAAGTTCAGTATATGCAGGGCCTTAGTGAAAAAATTATATTCGAGAGGCAAGCGCCTACACCTTGACCAGGTAGCTGAAACTGGCACCCAAAAACCTTTTGGTGATTTGCAAAAAAAAAAGCACACTCATAATTCTACCCACAGCATTTGTTTGCGTGCAGATAACGATGCGAGCTATATGTTAGATGTCCTTTAAAATTTGCGAATATATTTGCTACTTACTTCAATATATAGGTGTTATTCAACCAGCCCGGGTATTGCCCCGCCTGTTGGAAGTAAAACCAGCTGCCATGACTTCTTGACTGGTTTCAGAGTAGATACGACAGAAATCGAAAAAGCAATTAAACAGTAAAAACCAAAGTTATCTACAGGCGAAAACTGTATTCCATCGTTTATTATAAAGGGCTGCAGTGTCGTTTTCACACCCATTTTGCTGCACATCTTTAGTCTCTCTCCGAGTTCCGGTGTCATCCCATCACTATGGAAAGAAAGCGGTTGTGGTACCTATCTTAAAAGAAGGCGATAGTTCCGTCACAAGTAATTATCGCCCCATATTTTTATTGACGAAATTTTCTAAAGTTTTTGAACGGGCCCGCCAAAAGTTTCGCCAAAAGTTCGTATCTTGTCAGCATGTATTTTTTTTTTTTTTTTGAAAGGACGGTTGGTTGAAACCAATATTTCCTCTTTTTTTTTAAACTACTGTGCCCCCATTGTTTTCAACAGAGGCCAAGTTAATTGTGTATATTTTAACATGTCGAAAGCGTTTGATAAAGTAAGTCATGAGTTGTTGTTACACAAATTATTGTCACACGGTTGTTGTTCAGAGCTGTGCAACTGGTTCGAAAGCTACATATCCTCTCGTCCAAACAGTGTTCGTATGCATAACAGTTATTCCGACCTTCTCTTCTCAACATCTGGAGTCCCTTAAGGATCTAATCTTGGGCCCCTTTTGTTCTTAATCTTCGTCAACGATCTAGCGGCTTTTGTAGATAGTGCTGAGTTACTGATGTTTGCTGCTGACATCAAGCTTTTTATGAGTGCAAACTCCCTTGCTGACTGTCATGTTCTGCAACATGATGTCTTACGAGTTGTCCAGTGGTGTTCAGCAAGTAGCTTATCACTGAATCGCCTGAAAACAAATGTTTTGACTTTCTGCAGGCGTCGCAGTATAGTAAACTACGATTATATTATAGACGGAGTGACAATCAAGCGTGCATCTGTTGTAAAATACCTTGGCGTGTATCTCGATAATGCATTCAAATTTACCGCTCACGTGTCGTTTATTGTTGGTAGGGCGACGAGAATGTTGGGTATTACATGCCGCATCACTCAGCCATTCGAGAACCCGGCCTCCATTATTCGTTTATTTTGTGCCCTAGTTAGGTCTAAGCTTGAGTTCGGTTCTGTGGCCTGCAATTGGTTATCAAGAACACAAACAATAATCATCGAAAATGTGCAACACAAACTAATACGTATTGTTTATGATCGTTACTTCTAGATCGTTTCTATTTTGACAACACTTTTGTGCTTAATGAGATGTCGTTGATACCATTGACCAAGAGAAGTGCAGAGCGCTACTTAGTTTTTCTGTACACAATTGTAACCAGCGTATTTGAAAGTGTTTCGCTTTTACGTGATGTAAACATTCATGTCCCTCCTCGTTCCAATAGGACCCGCGATACTTTTAGCATTCCCACCATCCGTAAATCATTTCTTCTGTCACGGATACAATCTCTGTTTACCAATGTTGAAAATGCCGAACTTGATATACACAGTGACATTAAGGTGTTCGGAAACGCTGCTAAAATGCTCGTTGCCGAACTTTAAATATTGTGTGGTTGTAGCTTTGAGTTGGAAACCTGCAACTATGTTTTTTTTTTTCTTTCTTATCGTTTATATTTATACATTTGTGCACCAAATAGGAGACCCCGATGGTTGTTTTTTGGCACGTGATATGAAATAAAATGGATAAATAAGATAGACACCATGCGAGTTCGCTTTTGACGCTGCATGTCTGATCGGTACCACCAGCACATAGCGTCGGCTGCTTCCCGACTTGGGTGGTGCCGAAATTCTGAATGCATACTGAATGTTTCAAATAACTCTGGCATGCAGAAACGTCACAAGAAGATGCGTGAAGGACTTCGAATTCAACGGCTTTCGAATTCCAAAAGACACGAACCTTGTAGTTCCCGTACGCGTGATGCACCACGATCCAAGATACTGGGTGGACCCCGAGAAATTCAACCCTGACAGGTAAAATGTCCACGAGCATTCTTTAAGGCTTCTGTCTTTGAATAAACCTGTGTACTCTGGCCCATGGAGTGCTGCAGCGTCAGCGAGGCGTGACCGTTTAATGCTGGCGTGAAGCGGCGTCCTAGCGTCGCACCTGGCACGATTCATGGACGCAAAGTAGCTTCTGCCAGCGTCCCTCGGCGTCTGTCCACGGACCAGAGCGTTTGAAAGGGCGCTGCGCGACGCACAACGGAAACGCGACCTAAAAATAATTGCTTTCTCGCCAGGGGCGCTGCTCATTACGTGAGAGCTGCAGGTCTATAGGAGTATGAGCCGTTTATACCTGCAGTTACAGACAAGTCGCAGACTAGGAGACGCGCGACAAGAAACGTGCACACGAATAAAACTTACAGATGAAATGGGAACGAAGGTTCTAAAGTCATCGAAACAGAAAGCTTGGCAGAGCTGGGATATAAACTCCCGGTCGTGTCGTATACCGTGAAGTATGCTAAACACTGCACAACCTCACCTTCTTTATTGATGTGTGCGTGTGTGTGTGTCTTTTTTTTTTTTAATGAATGCGCTGAGGCGTAGTTACTCAAATTGGAGGTACCATGGATGCACATTCCGCAGCGCGGAACATCAGGCACAAGAGAACACGGATCAATGTCCCAATAACCAGGATCCTCCCCCACCGAATACCCAGCTACACTCCGTCTCACTCCGAGTTCGAGCGCTTCCAACGCTACAATTCGATCGAGATAGTCATGCAGCGGCAACAGTGCATAGTCGCGGTGTTCGTTAATTTCATGCGTTTGCTATCGCCGGCTAAACCAATCGCGCATAAAAAAAAAATATTTAAACAAAAAAATGACCGCATCTCCACGTGGTGAATGATGTTGATTGGGGCGAAGCTCTGGTGGTGCTGATGATACTGATTTTGTTCATAGGTAGTGCTCATGGTGCTGATTTTTATTTTATTGCTCATAGGTAGAGCTGAGTTCCGGGTTGCGTTTCGACTTCATTATTACTGCTTTATGGTTTGTGAAATGCAGAGCCGGTGGTTCTTCTAGCGGATCAGCTTGGATCCGCTAGAAGCCGTGGGAACGCATCTCCACCGCTTAAGTCAACGGTCCATGTCAGAAAAAGAATGTGTTGTGTAGAACGTGGTTATATACGCATTTGAGCATTTGACCGCAGCTTCCTCTCGTCTATAAACGTTGAGCCAATGCATGCGAAGTTTAACGCGATTATATACGCGTTTGACCGCAGCGCCCTCTCCTGTATTAGCGGCGAGATGTTTTGGTGGCGCTTTCCTATGGTTCCCCCTTGTGACGTTATTACCTTGCAAACAACAAGTTCGATGGTGTTTGTAAATAGCATGGTGGAAGCTTGAACTTATTGCGCTCTCAAATGAACACTGGCAACACCGTCAAAATTCATGCTCTTACATTGATCTTATTTCCGTCGATGATAAATCCTTTTCTTACGTCATAGTCAGCGTTCGGCCAGTCGTGGAAGGCCGACCACAGCGATGCTTTCGGTAGCGCACGTCGCCAATAGACGTTGAGCGTCTACATGCAACGTTTCATCCATGACATCCCCAGCTCTTGAATTACTACCACATCTCAGAGCCCCCTACTTGTCCCGCAGTCGTGGCCGAGTAATTAAGGCGATGGACTAGAAATCCACTGGGGTCTCCCCGCACAGGTTCGAATCCTGTCGACTGCGCAAACATTTTTTTTCTTTTTTGAAGAAGACAGATGGGATGGCAATCGATGGGAGCACGGACGTCGGACGGACAAGGCTAGACCCTAAAGAGCTTCGCCCCTAACAAACGCGAGATCAAAAAAAGTTTGCTTCGCGCGATTGGTTTAGTTGCTCATAGACGCGCGTAGACCACGAGCGCCGCGATTATGCCCTTTTGGCGTTACTGGATCGGCTCCATCAAGGGCCGCCCACACTAGCGACAAAACGCGAGCGGCGCGCCGATCGCGTTGAAAACGCGTTCCGCAAAACCGGTTGAGCGGGAAGATAAAGGGCGTGTCTCTGCACGCGCTCGTGGCGCTGACTGTGCTACGGTGACTTTTTGTTACTTCCCGCGATCGGCGTGCCACGCGCGTTTTCTCGCTAGTGTGGGCGGCCCTTGAGACTTCCGCGTCGGATGCTCTTGGACTCGGACTGAAACGGAGTGCAACTGACTGCGGTATCAGGGTCTTTTTGCCAGAGCTGTGCACGGAACCCCACGAAAATAGTTACAAAATGTGCAGATCGTACTTCAGCGGGCAATCTGTACAGAAGAACGCATTTTATTTATTTATTGATCCTTTGGGGAGGGAGGCTGGCACAAGGCCGCTGTGGGGTTGCACTGATGTCAGAACGCCAAGCTCTCATTAGCTCTTACGGAGGGATATAGTGGGTAGATCTCAAGGCTACCTTCCTTGAGATTTACCCACCATAGTTCCAATCGGAGCCAATCAGAACCCTGTGTTCTGGCGTCACCTCAACCCCTGTTCAAGAAGCAGACGGTCTTACGCTCTGCGTTGAAAAGAAATAGCAAAACTCTGAACACAATTAACCCGACGGGAATCGTATACCCGAGCCCATGATTATGAGCCCAACACTCTATACCACAGGAGCAACGGGTAGACTGGCCAATAGGAAACCGACCCGTCTACCCGCTGTTCGAACGCGAAGGCTGATCGCCGAAGGTCGGCCTTCGCCTTCGTACATGAATTCGAGACAAAGGAAGCCAATGTTGCTCCTACCCACTAATATTTCCAGTAACTTTGCCCTGCGTGTTCTCGTCTCCTCTCCCTCTTTCATCATCAGATTCAGTTCGGAAAACAAGTCGACGATCGAGCCAATGGCGTACATCCCTTTCGGCATCGGAACTCGCAACTGCCCCGCATCCCGGCTTGCAGAATTTGAGCTCTCGCTAATCATTGCCAAGACTGTGGCCAAGTTCAAGCTGCATCTCTGCGACGAACCAGAAAAGGCGAGTCGGTTTTAATTTCTGGGGGTATCTTAAAGGACGGTGCTTTACTTTTTAACGGAATCACTTAAAAACAGTGACAGCAAAAAGAAGAAAATAACGCAGGGTGTGGTTCATTATGTTTAAGCGCCTTGCTTCATGATTGCCTCTTCGACCCTTGCATCAGTTAATGACGGAATTTCATTGGTTGCGGAGGAATAACAAGATTCCCGGAACTCACTACGTCCTGCGTTTTCGTCGGTGACTATAGTCACCAAAATTCGTCTGTGCGTCCCTGCATTCCCGCCAAATATAGCGTGTAAATTGACGTCACGTCACCCAACGCCTGTCGCATTCCTCTGTTGAAATCAACTTATCGGTAAGACAGATAACAGTATCAAATTTGATGTTGACGAAGTATTTTTACTAAAATAAATGCTACTCACGCCATCATGCGATATATTTGTTTCATTAATATTGAGCTTAATAATATTAGCTCATCAAAATGTTTTTTTTTTCGTGTGTGTTGATTTAGTTAACGTCGTGTTCTTAAACTTTATGCATTCATTTTCCACCACTTCAGCGACCCATTCACGCGATGTTTCAGTGTTCTGCGATGCATATAGTTTATTTGTACGCGCCGATAAACCGGGTTTCGGTTTCTCGATCGGACCCGGGAATTTCAAAACTACGGTGCGGTGCACTCCCAATATTCCCCTTTGCTAATGAGAAGGACGTGCCATGTCGCCTCATAATATTCATGAGTCTAACTACAATGACAGCTTGGAGGGACACTGGCAGGGTATTCATGCTCGCCGAGCTTCTACTTGAACATGACTAGAGCCCAACTATCCAGAATACAATGTTCAGCTCCAACTTCGTTTTCTTTCCGCCCGAAAGCAGCCGGTTGAGAATCGGCCGGCCTCAGTTGCGTTCACTCTCTTTTCCATGGTCACGTGGCGTTCAAACGATGTGTACCAAATAGTATACTCAAAGTCGTGGGTCATCGAAGGCACACATTTTTTATTAAGAATAGAAAAGAATATGAACTCAATTTTCGTGGCTTCCAAGAAGCTGAAAATGCGTTGACCGAAAACAAAATGTTGCGCAAATCACAGGAAGTACCTGTACACGCCATTTTCAACATGGCGACGTACCGCGGGCTGGACGACGCCATGGCGGTGAACGACGGACCAACATTGCGACGGACATAGGGACGATACTTCGGAACTGTCGTTCGTTGTTCCGGCCAATCGGTTCATCAAGCGCAGAACATCGAGCGGAAGGGATAGAAGTGCGAAACATGGGTTCGACGAACGGTACACGCAAGTTCATCGTCGTCGTCGTCGTCGTCTGCTTCGCACGGCGAAAAGGCGGAGAAACAAAACGCGGTCGGGTGTGGCCACGTGACTTCCGGCCATGAGCTTCCGTGCTCGTGTTTCGGTTTCGAGCAGTTGAGGTTTTTGGCTTTATTAAAAATATACGTGACTCTCCAGCAAAATATTGTTGGCTGGTCTCCCGACACGATATTATATCGTCTGGCGAAAAATGACAAAAACTTTTTTTAGGGGGTGTCAGTGTCTCTTTAAGAAAGTCTAGGCATTATGTTCACACTTGCTTTGTGGTACGTTCTTGGCGGGTTTCTTTTTTCGGTTGCTGCAGATATATCATTGACTCCAGAGTGATACTTAGATGCTCAAAATTCGCCACGCACAGAATTTCTAAGTCTCAAGAGCAAACTGAAAATATGCCGCCCTTAATTTCATCGTATTTATTGGTTTCCTTGCAGAGGACTCTCAACTACATTGCACCAGTCATTCTAGCTTACTGCGAGGAGGGAGTTTGGGTGAGGGTGGAAAGAATATGAAGCCATCGGCGTGGATTATTCTCTTGAAGGGAAGAATTCGCAACTCCCGAAAAAAGTCAAGCAAATTGTCGTCGAATGTACGAGTGTCTGGACTCGGGTGCTCGATGAAGACGTCAACTTCAGAATGCCGGTCCTTTTTTTATCTCTTCAGCAATCCAACGAAGTTCAGCTGTATATTTTATATATTCACTTTTACAGAAGCCCGGTACGTATTTCTTATACCGATCATGATGTCATGCACAGAAATCAAAATTATTATTGGAATAGGCAATGGGAAAAACCCTAAAAAAATATTTTCCGAGCCGTCCTCGCACAACAATCGTCGAAGCATTCGCCGCGATACTCTCATTGGTTCTGTTTCTCAGGTGTTACTTGTGAAATGAACCAGGCTTGAGAAAAAATGTTCACCAAGCTATTCGCGTGAATGCCAGAAAGAAACAGCTTGGACACGATTTCCTTATTTTTTTCGAGGCAACTTAGACGAAGTAACGAAGTCCGGAGAAATAAAAAGCAAGCAAAACGAAATCGAAGACATTCTCTGTTCAAGTATGGGGATGCCGTACAATGCCAATTGGATTTGCTCCTTGTTCCTGTCTATCCCCATTTGTGGTCCTCACTTCCGTGTGTTCCTTAGGTCTGCGGGGAAACTGCAGTGGAAGGGGGGAGGGGGGGAGGGGGGGGGGAGGGGGGGGGGGCGGGCTGCATGCGACCCGCGGGCCGTAGGTTGCCCACCGCTGGCCTAAATAATAAAGATCGTTCATTAGATATGTAACTTCAAGGAATTAAAAAATAAATAAAAGAATGCACTTCATCCGAACATTCGTAAACGTGTTAGTTATTGTAATGTGCTCAGGTTAATTAAATGAATGTCTCATTTATCGTTTAACTAGGGTGCCTTTGAACGATTATTAAGGAAACGAGCGGCGTGGAGGGGCACGGCAGATGTGTATGCATTCCGTCGTCGTTAATTGAAAATGTAAAAAAAAAAAAGACTTTTTTTATAGCTTTGGGGCTTCGAGGTGTCAGTGTGAGTTTAGACGTAATACTCTAGAACATATTTAAGGGTGCAGATTTCTCAATCTATCTTATCTTCGAACTATATATATTTAAATCAATATACGCGATAAGAGCCTCAAATACATAAATGACTTCGTTGGCTTATCCCCTATAAATAAACTAAAGACAAGCTGAAAATCTGGTGTCACGGAAAGAATATGGGATGAATTTGCCTGAACCTGTTGTCTTCTGTATTTGATCTTTAATTGCTTTAGGTTGCAATATTTGGCATTCTTCACCCTGCATTTGGCAATTAAGTGTTTTTGTTGAGGTTGTGTTTTTTTTTTCAGTGTGGTAAAAACAACTGGTTAATGCTAAAGGAGTACATATCGAATTATATTATTATTACACGCGGCGCCACACGCCTTCATTGTACCGGCGTCTTGCCATTCTGCTGTGCCGCGTTTCTTCTGAGATAAAATAAAAATCAGTACCAATAAGTTGTTTTCGATATGTTCGTCAGTGTTTCGTAGTTTTGCCTTACGAAAAAGTTAAGCAGTCTTTGCTTTTGTTGGCAAGAACGTTTTGCATAATGTTTCATGAATAAAATGGTAATAATTATTATTACGACTGGTAATATGTGTAGTAAACGTAAGTACGCTAGTTGCGATCTCTGAAGGCTAGACAAATATAAAGTCCGCCAGGCACCTTGCGACCTTTACTGTTGTCTTTCACGGAAACGTTATGTGTGTGCAAACTGTGGCGGGCCTTTATCACGTAGTGAATTTCGTCCCTGGTACCAGTCATTGCGTTACAGCAATGCATAATTTGTATAGTTACCGACAGCATGAAAGCGGCAGGGAGGAGCTTCAGTTTTCCCGCCTCCAGGGCGAGCCTTCGACAACGTTCGTGCACCTTGAGCGTGCGCACGCAGTCAAAGCACGACGGAAGGCACGAAGCACATGCTGGAGGCCGGGCATTCGAAAGACACGCCCTGACGTTCTTATTCTGCCAGCGTCTCTAGCGTACTTCCATGACCCGGAAACTGCGCCTCCTCTCTTCTCCAAATTACAGAACACGCCATTTCTCGTTCTGCACTATAGTAGAATGTGGCTGCACTGTTTAATATTATCATGACTATAGGTAACCACATTTTCCAACCCACGATATTACGGCACACACAGGGCTATTATGGCGCCTGTTTGCCACAATCTTAATCTTCACCATGATATAAACCATATGAGAAATGACACATACATGTTGTTGTTTTTTTACCATAGTTTGACTTGCCCTACGATGAAATACAGCCATAGTTACAGGCCACTAGGTCCAATCACGAGCCAACTATGCATCACTTGGTGTATGTTGTGAAATATACGTATCGGTGCGCCTGTCTTATATCACGAATTCGCAGCTCAGATCAATAAACTATCACATTGTTTTTAAATGGCTAGGATTTGAAATGTATTCTTTGTCGGTTTTTTCGCCATCTGGAATAGTTTACCTCGGCAACTAAATGCATCGTCTCAAAGATTGCACACGACCGACAAGTGCGTGAACTGCATTCTATTAAACAGTCCCAGCACGCTTGTAGGTCATCGTAAAATGTAATTAAGCTTTGCCTAGTTTTTTAGTTTTTTTTTTAGTCTTTGTGTTAATAAGATAGTGGCTTGAACATATTATTAAACTTTCTTTTATTACGTGAATTTCATATCTGAATCCCAAAATTATTCTAGTGTAAGGTTCCCGGATACTTATAATGAGATCTTGGGATTTTAGTATTTTATGACAAATAAAGATATACGTGGAGGTTTGGTTTGACTGGGTACTTGCGTGTTCTGTTCCTGCATCCCTGGGCACTCGACCTAAGAAATGCTTGGTGCATATGGCTACAATCTAGCAGTAGTTGTAAACACACCCGGCTACTGGTCTTGGTCGTCTGCGTCGCCTCCCGCCGTAGATCCTGGCCAGTTTCTTGGCCCTATTTTTTTTTACAGAAAGACGGCTACGCTCTGTAAGTTTACAAGAAAAGACCGACCTGTGAAATACACCTTTGACGAAAAGTTTGGATTGCTACGTGCAGGTATCAACTTCGGGGTTGATTTCAGATCAAGCCTATAATGACTTGGATCAGTCTATATATATATATATATATATATATATATATATATATTTTTTTTTTAATAGGGAGTTTGGGTTAGACGTTATGTCTTCTTCAGGTATTGATCGGCCTCGGCGGATAATATATGAGGCAATAATCGTCACGGTAGGTTGACTTATTAACTTAAATCGTTTTCAATCTTTGTTTTGGGAGCCATGTTGGAATTGCAGTACTGACGGGGATTACCATTAGAGACCAGAACAGTCTAAAGAACTTGCGAAAAAAATGGTTTATGAGATATGAATCGATCAATTTTCTCGTTTTTTCGCCGGATGTAAAAGATTGCGTCCCAAGATAGCCCATGAAGCACTGCAAGCACTGCAACTAAAAATTAATAAAACCAAATGCCCCAACGCTTCAGGACCAGCTCGGTCCCTTAATGACTGTGGTGACTGTGGGTTGGACAGAGGGGGAAGTCGCTTATGTAGGCCGGTTGCGATTGCTGCGTCCGGGTTTTTCCACTAAGCGACGAAGCCCTGACACATAGACGTTTCTGAGAGTGCCGGCGACCTGTTGATGTTACGCTTTGTTGTCTGGATGTACCGTGGTGAGGACTGCACTCATGAATGGCACGAGTCTAGTGGACCGAACCTTCTTGTCCGTTGACGAGATCTGCCGTCTACTGGAGCTATGCCTCACAAGCACCTATCTTATCGTTCAGTTCCGCTTCAAGTAGACAAGCGGCACCGCAATGGAAGCAGCTATCTCGGTTACCATGGCCTACCTCATATTGTCACGAATGACAAGGTGAAACAAAAATAATTTGGAAGTGCCAACACCGACACTTCCACTCAAGCTTTGTTCTTTTACAGTGACGCTTTCGCCATCCCGCATCGCATATGTGCCACATAGGGAATTCTGCTTGAAAGAAAAATAGAACTTTCCACAACATCTTAACTTGTATTCGACGTGGTTTGCCAATTTAAGGCGCAATTGATTCATTTGCTCTACCATCGCTGAAAAGCGCATTATACATTTAAATTTTTTTTCGTGAAATAAAACACAATCGGTCGTAACTAATAGCAGATGTCTACCTCGTATTTTTAGGCGCTCAAGCACTACTGACTTACTTGAGCTAGAAGGTCTCGATCGCGGAGGGGTTTTGCACGTTTCACGTCAAACGGCCGCATAGCTGACGCAAAAAAAAATACCTTCGCTTGCCAACTCTGTGAGAAGATCGAGGAAGGCGTTAGAAGGCTAGAACGAGAGTTGAAGGCTAAATTAAGAGATATAAAGGGGAAACTGAAGGAAGAGACAGAAAAGGGGGTCCTGCTCGAGACGCAGGTCACTGAGTTGAAGAGGGAGGAGCCTGAAGTGAGGTGGCTGGAGCTTGGCTAAGGAGTTCGAAGCCAAGCTGGAGCAGATGGGTGCTGAGCTTAACAAATCAAGGGAGGAGCGGGCCGACCTTGAGAAGCAGGTGGAGGAGCTCAGGCAGGAGGAAGTGTGGAACGCAGTGCTAGAAGAGCGAAACAAGGAATGGGGGTGTGTGGAGAGAGTGGAGCATCTCATCGGTGTAATTAAGAAAGAGAAGGAAAATAGCGAGGAAGGACAAAAAATGATGGCCGAATTGAATGGTACTCTCAGAGTAGAGGTCAAGAAGAGGGTCAACCTAGAAGCACAGAGGAAAGAGATGAAGAGGGAGACGACAGCGAGAGTAGTCCCGGAGGTGCAAAGGGCTAGCGAGCAGAAAGCCAGCTGTGCTGACACGAAGGAACTTTCTAGGACCTATAGTGAAGCAACGAGAAATGAGAAACAAATACGTGGATTGTTATAGCCTAATCTTATGCGGGTGGTAATTGGAGGGCAGGGTAGCAGCGTAGTGCCAGGAGAAGGCGTGCAGCTGCCGTCAGTTAGGAGAGTCCTGGT